TCTCCCCCCCCCCCCCCCCCCAAAAAAAAAAAAAGAAAGAGGATTACATTTTTGTGGGTTTTTCTGATTTCATTCTTTCTTTTTTTCTTATGCAGTTCAATATGTTGGTTAATTCTTTTATGATCTGTCGAGCACATGCATGTAGATGACTTTAGATAGAGGGGATTAATCAATCTTTGTGTTTGGTAGACCACTGGGATTAGATGTGTAAATCTGATTGTACTGAGTTTTACACTTCTAATATAATCCGGTTGTGGCAAGGATAGTTGACACATTCCAGGCTGGCTGTTGGGGGCCCATGCACGCTCACGTGGCTTGTGGACCTCCACAAATAATTTGAATATAGTAATGATATTCAGCACCACTAGTATCAAACACCATGTGGTAACTACGACATTAAATGATAGATTTAATTAAATGCAATATCATACGATTCGTTTAATTTAACCTATCAATTGTGACCACTTAAACTAGTGTTTTAGCATCACTGATGATAGATAGCATCATTCGTACATGATACAAATAAAAGGTTTTTTGGTCTAAGAAACTTTCCAAACAAATTATTCACTCAATAACTGTATTAATATCATGAAGCAAAATGCCGATTACAGTTTAATTACATAGCAAGTTCTATAAGAAATTTGAGAAGAACCCATATTACATGGACAGTCTACTTGAAAAAAGAAGTTGCATATAAATCCAGGTGCCATTTTTAGATGCACAAATTAGAAAATCTTGGCCACATCCTTCACTAGTCCTCTGTTGGCTCGAGCGAAATTCGCAAACTCTTCGTAAGAAATGAATCCATCGCCATCAGTATCAATTTCAGCCATCATCCGTTGGATTTCATCTGGTGTAACAGAACCGAGCGTTTTCAATGCCTCACCCAATTCCGAGGCCGAGATTTTTCCGTCCCCATTGGCATCAAAACGCTTGAATATTTTTTCACAGTCGGGTACATCCTGTGAATCATCAGCCATTGTTGGTGTTTGCTTTGCAAATTTTGTTGGGATATTGGGAATGGAACAGTGTTTAGAGTGGCTTATAATGAGAATGTTTTGTCGAAGGGATATGGTCATCCTTATTATTCGGTTTGAACAAGACATATTTGTAACTGCAGTTCCTTTTGAATCGCTCGTCAATCCTATTTCTAACCCGAGCAGTTAGAGGGAGAGAGGTTTTGGCATTCGAGTAATCCTACCTTAACAATCGGTAAGGAGCAAGTTTTACGCCTCAGAAAAAAATTGCCAAACTGTAAGAAGCAAAGTGCTTAAATTTTACATTAAAAATTAAGTGAATGTCAGATACACCCCTTATCCCACACTTGACCACCTTTAAGATCAATTAGTGTCATAAATAAGACGTACAAATTGTTAACAAAATACATTTGAGAATAAGAGATAGAACTTCATGTGAACCATGCATCCTACAATATATAGAGGAAAAATATTAATACATTATGAACAAAATATAAAAATTTTAAATAAAAATTCGGAAAATGGAAAGATATATTAACATTGAAAAAATTCAAGAAATAACAAAAAAAAAAAAAAATAATAAATAAATAAATCTTGTAAAATACATACAAAATGAAAGGTAAAAATTAGCAGAAGACAAAAGAAAGAAACTCCCGAGTTACAAAGTTGAAATGGAAAATTGAAAAATGAGCTGCGTCGATCCTTTTAGATTAAGCCCACAATTTATTATTAGAGAAACGCTAATACAATTTTGGTTAACGGCTAGAACGTTTATTGTTGTAAATTTAATATTAATTTCGAATGACTATTTTATCCCTATAGCTCTAATTATTATAACCATTGTACTAGGGATGACAAAAAAATCAGTTCAATCCAAAACTCGTGGGCCCCACCCCGTCCCGAACGGGGCGGGGATTACCCACCTAATCGGGTAAACGGGGCGGGGACGAGACGATGGTCATTGCCTCGAAGCGGGTATAGGGCGAGTAAGAAAATCATAGTCCTCACCCCGCTACTCGTCCCGTTTAAAGTTAATTTTAAATTTAAGTTTTTTATTAAATAAAAATAATAGATTTTTTGTAAAAAAGAACATAAGTGGTTTCAAACAAATTGGTAAAAAAATAATAATATTTACTAAGTAAAGATATAAAAAATAAAATAAATAAAAAATAAAAAGAAAAAATAAATTGGGGGGGGGGGGGGGGGGNATGGGGCAGGAAACCCCTCCCCCCTGCCTCGCCTCGTCCCGCCTCTATCCCGTCCCGCTTTAAACGAGTATGAGAATGAGACAAGGTAACAAAAATACCCAATGAGACAGGGTGAGAATGGTCGACATGTCCCATACATGTCCCATTGCCATCCCTATATTGTACCCCTTGAGTACTAATTCTTCCAATAAAAGATTTTCAATAAAATATATATGTCTATTGCTTCTTTATATTTTCTTATATTTTCTCTCTAATTTATAACACGTTATCAACACGAATCTCTAACAAGTTGAGAAAGGAAAAGAAACGTCTCTCTCGTCCAGAGAAAAAACATGGAAGTTTTAGCTAATTGAGTTCATAAAAAACACTTCTTTTTCGTTTAAAGAAAATGTCAATATATTCTGTTAACTTTAAATTGAATAGTAAAACGATGAGTGTTAATTTGGCTATACCATTGATGATAAAATACGTGTGCTTGAATATAATTTATTATTTTGTACTCATATTCAAGAGAATATTGTATTGTCATTATTCTTGAAGAAGTGTCAACTTAAATCAATATTCCAGAAAAATATTGTAATATTATAATGTATCAATATTAAAGAAAAATATTTCTTTGTTGCTCATGTAGAAGCACGAGTTCACACATACCAATATATAAAAAGAATAATATATTGCTAATATTGAAAAAATACAACATTTGTACATATCATATTCTAGACGAATATTATGCCGATACACTTGGTAAAACACGGCTCTATTTAAATAATATTATAAAGGAATATTATTTTTAATACTCCCGAATAAGTTTAAATCTCATACATATCAATGTTTTAAAGAATATTTAATTATTGCTTCATCAAAGAGTACGGCCTTATACAAATCAATATTCTTCTAGAATATTGTATTGATCGATAAGAAACTTTATGGATCAATATTTTTGAAAAATAAAAATGCGTTAATACGATGTTCATGAAGAATATAGTGTTTGTTCATGAAGAAAACATGATGTACGTATATACTATAAAAGGTATATATTTGTTTAAATATATACGTGCTTTACATATTCATCTTGCTCATTATTCATTTTTGTGTATATGCGATAATGTACTTCCCTAAAAGTCATATTATAGCGGGTCTTTTATTTATGAAATAATATTCGTGGAATACGAGGTTACGACTTTTGCTTTAGTTAATGTATGAAGGATGAAGGGAAGCGTTCATCCTATCAATATTTTTGACAAATAATTTTGAAAAAAAAAAAATCAGCCTTAATTTAAGTTAATCTAATGATTTAGATAATTAAGTAAAATCCTTTGAAATTTAAAAATGGAAAACCCCACAACACACCCCCACACCCCCATAATATCCGTTTTGTGTCCTCTCCCTACCCCTTTCTCGCTCTCTCTTCAAATTGAAAATACCTCCAATGGAAATTTTTGTGGAGTATAAATCACCGAGAAATCACAATTCTTCTCTCATCCCTTCTCTCTCACGGACGATTGTCCTCAAGAATATAAGGATACAAGAAACGGGTTCTTGAAATGGCATTGGATTTACATCCCACTATTTGTATTAATAGTCATGTAAAACCCATATTACCCTTTTTTTTTTTATTATAATATTCAACAATCTCTCATTCCAGATTTAGAACATAAATGGTAAAACAATGACAAATTCTGGCGTAAATTAGAGCATCACATTAACACTTGTGGTTGGTATAAATTCTGGGATAAATTTAGAGTTACATATATAAATTTAGAGTTACATATATTTAATTCATGAATCACATAATCTTCGTCAAAATCAAAGTATTCTGTATTCAAAATCCTCCTGCCTCTCCCTCACCACCATTGTAAAATTCTCTATGAAACGACGACATTAAAAGAGCGAGGGTCCCAGAACGTGTAGTATTCTATATTCAAGTAGCATTGTAAGCGAAAACAGGCCAAGAAACAGAAGCTGCTGCTTACAAAATCAAACCTTAATGTAGAAATCGATAAAAAAAACAACCATGGGATAGGAACATTGAGAGTTTGAGTAATGGAAAAGTGAGTATAAGCAAAATGGTAATTTCCATTTCTAAATTTCAAAGGATTTTAACTAAATCATCTAAACCTTAGATTAACTTAAATGAAAAGGTGAGATTTTTTGTGAAAATTATTTGTCAATAGTATAGGTGGAATGCTATAACATAGGTATCTCCACTATTATTAACAAATGCTTTATTGATGAGTGTTATTGTATTACTTTTGTGTTTTCACTTTTTACAAAACTAGATTTCTTTGACATATTACAAGTTAATATTATTCAGAAGAATCTTTATATTAAAATAATAAAGATCTTTCCCGATTTTCATTTTAAACTCATATAAATACGTAACTAGATTTTCAACTATTTTTATCATGCACATATTCCATGTCGAGCATTTTTCATAACTTCTGATTCCTTCTCTCATGAGTTAAACCTTTATTAAAATTAACATTCATTAAATTAAAATGTGACACAAAATAGTCGTAGATACTGTCATACTGAGTAATAGTGTGAGTCTTGCTAAATGTGTGGTTATGAATAAGTTTGAATTTGACCTTTGAATTATATAGAACTTATAATGAAACCCAAACAAGCATTTTCCAATCTTTGCCGAAAGTTAAAATTTTATTCCTAATTTTTCATGAATTAGCAAAGTTAGTCCACAATGATTGTTTCCTTCCAATATTTTTGCCCCTTTTATGCCACGTCATCGTCAACCAACACGACGCCGTTTTGGTAACGGCCTTTTCTCTCTTTTCTCCTACTACTTCACACCACTTCTGCGTATTTTCTTCACAAAAAATGATATTCACAAAATTCACATTGACCTACCGCACCCACTGCTTGCCTATTTTGTTTGCATATCGATAAAATCGCAAAATTCACATCCATCTTGCCAACTGCTGCCTATTTTCTCTGCAAAAGCTATCAATTGGATTGACAAAATTCACGTTAGATTCGTCCATCCTCGACGCCGCCGCTATCTACAAGGTGTTTCTTCATTCTCTCATCCATAACTCACAGTCTCGCAGAGACACGATCGATGTGTGTGCGAGACAGCGTGCACATGCGGGTGTCTCTATCCAGTAGATGTAGACACGGGCGAAGTTGAAGCAATTTGATGTTTTGTTTATTTCCTGTTCGGATAGAATTGAATATTTCTCAAGTTAAAATTCTAATTTTATTGTAATACTGGACAGAGGCATGGTGGATGGAGGTATTTCTCCATGTCTCTGTCCATCGCATAGAGGAGGTACGAGTGGACGGACGTCCACTTGGATGGAGTCATGTAGGAGTCATGAGTGCATAGGCATGGAGGAGGCATGAGTGCACAGAGGCATTTCTCCATGCTTCCGTCCAGTGGATGGAGGCATGGACAAATGCCTCCATCCAATGGAAATATGTTTAAGTTGTGGACTAAATATCTTCCTTTCTCTAAAGCAGCAGCTTACCTTTTTGAGTGATTTGTGAAGCTCTTGGTAATGGGTTCACATTGATGATGTGTTTACAGATCAAATCTGATTCTTCAATTTTTGCCGGCCACAAAGGGAAATCTAATAGAACTTGGACTCAATCTCTTGGGAGGCAGCTGATAAGAATGGAATGATGGAGTAGTCAAGGAGATGTGTCTGCTGAAGTTTCGCCTGCTGTGATCTTAAATATGACTGCTGTAACTTCCATGAACCTGTTCTTTTTAACTTTAAAATAATGTTGGATGATATTGCTTTAGTCAGTAGCAACATTCAAATTTATAGTATTGGAAACAAAAAAATTATAATTTGTACCTGGTGATTGATGAGAATTTGTGGTGGCTGACTTTAGAGGGAGAAATTAAAGTTGCTTGAATAACTGATCAAATAA